GGAGGAAGTTATAAACTGAATTGTACTGGCCAGAAAGACCTACAAATGGAAGGTCTGTGGGCAACTCAAAAATAAAGGGTTTAACAAACCCTGTCAGGACCTGTATCACCAAATCAGCTACTGTCAAAAGCATTAAAAAACAAAACAAAACAAAAAAAAAAACCACAACACAAAACCATTTATTTCTTTTTGCAGGTGGAGGTGAGAGATTCCTAGTTTATGTACAATGTACAATGTACAAGAGAAAAATTGTCACAATTTTAAGAATGGGGGAAGGGGATTGCTGTGTCCCCGTATTCATATGTACACACAATAAAATAAACATTTTGTCTATATGTATGTTTACATGTGTGTGCCTGGTGCCTTTGGAATGAGATAGTTGTGAGCCATCATGTGGGTGCCACCAGTCTAAACTGGCACCTCGAGAACAGTAAGTGCTGCTCACCACTGCACCCTGTCTCCAGCCCTAAAATAAATTTAAAGGAACAACCAACTACACAAAGAAAAATAATTTTTTTTAAAATTTTTATCAGTTACATTTTATTAACTGTTTCCCAGCTGTATCCCGTTCCCTCATTCCCTTCCAACCCCACCCTCCCTCCCTCATCTCCACCCTGCCCCTTTCCAAGTAGTCCCCAGATGGGGGGGAACCTCCTCCCCATTCATCTGACCCTGTTTTATCAGATACTTTCAGGACTGGCTGCCAAGTCCTCCTCTGTGGCCTAGCAGGACTGCTCCCCCCTTGGGAGTGGGGGGGGGGGGTGGTGTCAAAGAGCCAGCCATTGAGTTCCTGTTAGAAACAGTCCTTGTTCCCCTCACTATGGGAAACCAATTGGTTACTGAAGAAAAATAATTTTTTAATTTCAGGAATTTTGTGAACTGCTTAGTGTGGTGTTAAATACTTGCCAGCACAACACAGTTGACAAGTTAGGTCTCTGAAACAAGAATTATATTTCAGCTGGTAGGTAATGGGAAGCAGAGGATCTCCCTGAGTTCAAGGCCAGGGCAGAGCTATCCAGTGAGACCTGTCACTCACACACACAATATCTTATCAATCAAACAGAATCGTAACATGTTTGCTATTATTATTCCTCCTTCCTTCCACACTCAGCAACTGTCAAGCCTGTCTTCTGGGCCAAACAACTACCACCTTGGGATATTCAGCCATGCCCCCCTTTGAAAGGGGATTGTTCAAGTACACATTCCTTCTTACTCCTTGCCCCATTCACCAACACCCAACCACTCTCTACCAATCTGCAACTTTGCATGCAGCCTAGGGGAGGGGCTAGAATTTATTTATACAGGCCCCAGCTCCATCTGCAGATGTGGGGAGAGCCTCATTCCTGCCCAGGAAGGCTTCCCAGGGGCAGCCCATTAGGGGAGGGGGGATCGCACCCCGTACCTAACACTTCTGTGCTCTAGAACAAAGTCCAAGATTCTGGTGGAATAGAGCTTCAGTTTGTCGTTGGGACCTGAGGGGAAGAGTTAGATGTCATCCTCTGGGAAGGAATTTTAGCAAAACCAATGTCACTGCCAGTGATGAGGTTATGGAGCAAGAGAAGATTTTCTGTAGTGAAGTTGTCAAGCACAGCTTTAAAAATGTTCAGAGGATAGAAACATTTTTATTTTTTATCTCACTCTTAAAATGACTCATGTCAAACAGATACTTCTAACAGGTCAAATATGCAAGCCAGGCTAGCTTCCCACTTGCAGCAATCTTACTAGCCTTTGAAGTACTAGAATTACAGGTGTGTTGCCACTTGAATTTTGAGATAAATTGACAACTTTCTATACAGTTTTCTTAGTTTGGGTTTTTATTGCATGAAACACATGATCAAAAAGCAAGTTAGAGAGAAAAGGATTTATTTAGCTTACACTTCCATATTGCTGTTCATTATTGTAGGAAGGTGGGACAGGAACTCAAGCAGGCCATGGACGGTGCTGCTTACTGGCTTGCTCAACCTGCTTTCTTATAGAACCCAGGACCACCAGCCCAGGGATGGTACCACCCACAATGGGCTGGGCCCTGCCCCACTGATCACTAATTGGAAAATGTCTTAGAGCTGGATCTCATGGAGTCATTTCCTCAACAGAGGCTCCTTCCTCTCAGACAACTCTAACCAGTACAAGCTTTGGGGTTCTGTTTTGTTGGTACTGCTTGCTTTGGACCAGGGGCTTGTGCATGTCTGGCAAATTCTCCACCACTGAGCTACACATCCATCACATAGAAATTCAATTTACAGTCTGCTTTGAAGACAGCGTCTTGCTGTGCTTTGCTCAGGGTGCTAGAATTATAGGCAGATGACAGCACACCCAGTTATTTAGCTATAATCCTATCGAAATGTTAAGTATGGTGAGTGTTAATTATTCAGTCTCTGTAAAAAAGTAATCTGCTTGCTAAACCCAAAATACGTATTTTCAGTCACATGGGTGTGTACAGAGCAGTGAAATCTATCACCCGACTTGCACCTTCCTAGCTGAGGCTTACAAAGGGCCTGTTTTGTATAATGTCCTTACATGGTCTATTTAGAGACACTTCTTTTGCACTTTAGTTTGTAATCCAGTGGCCACTAGGTATAGATAGCTCTGTCCTGTTTATTTGGGGTTCCTTAAGCCTCTACCTCCCTTCCAACTCCCCCCAACCTTAGGTCCGAGATGACGGTTAGAAGGAAGAGGAGACGCAGACCTCTTTAGACATAGTTGTGCTGGTTAGGGTGGATGAGTGCTTTGGGGAAATACCAATCTCAGTCGTCAGGGTATCTAGCAGCAAACAGCAGGCGCAGCAGGGCCAACAGGCAGCCTTCTCCCTCCTCTGTCCATCTCCTTGAAGTCCCTTTCTCTCTCTGGGCCCTAGTATCGATCTCTCTTAGAGTCCTCAGAATTCCACTACCTTCAACTGGCAACGACCATGCCCCTCTCTCAGTCACTGTAGACAAACTAAGGCAGTTCCATATCCCATAGAGATTAAAACAAAAACATTTACATAACATTTCAAAGAAACCACAACTTCCACTACATAGTGTTTGCAAAAGTAAATAAAATTAAGATCCTACATGCTGCTTTTGTGGTTGAACAAAGGATTTGAGTTAAAAATCCAACTTGTTTTTTGAGACAGGGTTTCTCTGTTTAGCCTTGGCTGTCCTAGACTCGCTTTATAGACCAGGCTGGCCTCGAACTCAAGAGCTTCAACTAATTTTCTATTGTGCTGTAGAGCTTAAGCCAGTTTAAACCTTTTCACAGCTGGGTATGGTGGTGTACACCTTTGAACCCAGCACTTGTGAGGCAGAGGCAGGAGGATCCCTGAGCTCAAGTCCAGCCTGGTCTACAAAGTGAGTTCCAGGACAGGTAGGGTTACACAGAGAAACCCTGTCTCAAAAAAAACAAACAAACAAACAAAAAAAAAAAAAACAAAAACAAAAAACAAAAAACCCACACCCACATAAACCTACCATCACCCAAACAAAAATAATAAAACGATAACCTCTAGTGGAATAAGCTCAAGAAGTACCTACTGCAGTTTCTTCCTGTTAAGCTGTCTTTAGAACATTGCAAACATTCAAGACAAGCTTTTTAAAATGTTTCTCTGTGTAGACCTGGCTGGCATCAAACTCAGATATGCACCTACCTCTGCCTCCCCCAAGTGCTGGGATTAAAGGAGGCACCACCACCACACGGTTGACACTAAAACTTTCAAAACAAAACATGCTTTAAAAAATATCTTTTTGCCATTTTACTTAAAATCACATCTGGCTCTGGCTGCTACCCTGTGAGACACTGAACCCAGCATTTGCTCACTGCAGGAAAGTACCTTATCGATTAATTACATCTCCAGCTTCCCCACCCCTTTTTAAGATTTACTATGTATACAAAGTTCTGCTTGCATGTACACCTGCATTCCAGAAGAGGGCACCAGATCTCACCAGATGGTTGCTGGGAACTGAACTCAGGACCTCTGGAAGAGCAACCAGTGCTCTTAACCTCTGGGCCATCTCTCCAGTCCCCCTCCCCTAGAGTCTTAATTTAAAAAGTTATGAAGGCTGGGCATACTTGCATTATTTCTGCTAACCCAGCATGTAGGTGAGGTAGGTTAGGTCAGAGGCAGCCTGAGCTATACAGTAATGCCAAGTCAAAAAAGAACACAGAAAAATTGGGGCTGGGGGATATGCATTGGTTTTTACACTGCTGGTTGACCTTTAGCCTAGTTTCTAGAACCCCGTCAGGCATCAGGCTCTGTACACATCCTCTCATGCATATTCTGTGCTGAGCACTGAATCCTTCTGTGCACTAAGCACTTGATTTACCACTGGGCTTCAGTCTATCCATCATGTACAATGCAATACTGTGAACCTGCCTCATGGCAGATGGCCTTCAACTACCATCTTAGCCTCTTCAGTGCTAGGTACACAGACATGTGCCAAAACATGACACACTTTTAAAAATTGTGTGTGTGTGTGTGTGTGTGTGGTGTGGTGTGTGCCTGAAAGCAGAAGAGAGCATCAGATCCCTTCAAGCTTAAGTTACACAGTTTCAAGTCACCCAATGAGTGCTGGGTCCTTTGCAAGAGTATAAAGTGCCCCTAACTATTCAGAATATGTCTAGATCCGAGACACAACTTTCTTGACCTTTAGTTGAATTCTCAGGGTGGAATCCACGGGACAGGAGTGGGGACGGAGACGGTATGTATGTATGTGTGTGCGCATGCATGATAGAATAAAATTCACCATTAAAAAATTTTTTTTCACAGCCAGATGTGATGGCTCACACCTGTAATCCCAGCACTTGGGAGGCAGGCAGATCTCTGTGAGTTCAATGCCAGCCTGGTCTTACAAAGCGAGTCCAGGAAACCTGTCTCAAAAAACAAAAACAAAAAAGGAAAAAAAGAAATCAAACCCATGTTCAATGCATGTGCAATGTGACCAACCCACAGAACTGAACATACTATGTGACTGACTACACAGTAAACACTGAAACTTTAGCTTGATAATCAGCAGACAACTCTGTCCCCACACTTATGTTTATTAAAAACTGACAAACAAACAAAACCTGTACAAAAACTATCCCCAATTCCTTATCACTTTGAAACAGTAATCTTGAGCGACATTATCGCCTAGGACCCCCTCTTCCTCTGCCGCGACCACGTCCTCTTCCTCTGCCTCGGCCTCGACCTCTTCCTGCAACTGGGGGAAAGTAACAAAGCAGGTGAAATTCTCTTCAAGTCATAGCACCCAAGCACCACACAGCCTTACCCCATGCCCTTTCCCACCTCTTTAACTCAGCTTCTCAAATCTGTCACCATCAGGTAAAACCGAGACCTGCCAGCAGTGCTGCAATTTACACCCTGTGCCAGATTTCTGCGCACCGAATAAAGCCGAGCAAGTTACTCTGAAGTCAAGAAACCTTACATACATTATACCAAACAACAATCTAGTAACATGGGAGCTTGAAAACTTGTTTGGCTCGATCATGACTTAGTATTTTAACCTATAACCCTATCTTTAACACTTGCTCATCATGAGGACAAAAAAAAAAAAAAAGGAAAGAAAGGGAAGAAACCACAGTGTACTTACCCGGTGTACTCAGACTGAGATTTGTGTATAACCCCCACCCCCCAACCCACTCTGTGGTCAGAATCAAATCCAGGGCCCTATGCAGGCAGGTCAGGCAAGTGTTCTGTCACTGAGCTACATCCCCACACTCCTGTAAAGTCATTCATTCATTCATTTATTTTAAGGCATGGTCTCTTCTAGCCCAGGCCGCCCTGGACCGTACATACTATGTAGACCAAGCTGGCCTCAAACTTACAGAGATCCACCTGCCTCTGGCTCTCAAATGCTGGGTTAAAGGTGTGCATTTAGTAAAGGAAGAATACCTTTCTAAAGAAACCAGGATCTTAGATACAAAGAGTGACATGATACAAGGCAGGAGGCACAAAAACAAAAAAAGGTTGACATGATCTATGGATATCAGGCTGAAAGTCTGCCTCCTCATCTTGTAAAGCTTGTCTTATTTCCTTGACAAAATAGGTAGAAAAGAGAAAGTAGAAGGAATCAAAGACACCGACACATAAAGGCTTGAGATTTAAAAAAACAGCAGCATGAGGTGGGACTTTAAGGGTTAATTAGTGTTTTGTAAGCTATGTGTCACAATCACTTTACTTTTTAAACTGGAAAAAAAAAAAAAAAGGAAATTCAAAAGCATCTGTATTGTTATAACTAATTCCAGTGGCTACAAGACAAAATACTTATCAGGTGGAAGACAAAAAGACTCAAAGTCAACATATTGCAGAGCTCGTTGCACACGCCTACAACTCGGGGAGGCAGAGGCAGGCGGATCTCTGTGAGTTCAAGGCCAGCCTGGTCTACAAAATGAGTCCAAGACAGTTAAGGCTACACAGAGAAATTCCGTCTTGAGGGAAAAAGTCAACATCTAGGAAATAGTGGCCCCTTTCTCCTGCCCTACTCTTACATTGCTGGCCGACAGCCATATCTCCCAAAGCAGATGCTGTGTGGTTCCAATGTGTAAGTCCTCCACAGACTCACACACTGTACCACCTGTCTCCAGTCGGTGGAGCTGTTTGCTTTGAGGCTCCATTGCCTGGGCACACTTCCTGCTCTCTGACTCCAGACTGCTGACACGGTGGAGTCCTGCTTTCTCCAGAATAGTAGGATATAATCCTTGACCTATCAGCTAGAGCAGTGGCTCTCAATCTTCCTGATGCTGGGCCCTTTAATACAGTTTGTGTTGTAACTTCTAACCATAAAATATTCTATTGCTCCTTCATAACTAATTTTGCTACTGTTCTGAATTAGAACTGCTGAGCTAGAATAAACCCTTTCCTTAAGCTGCTGCTTGTCAGGCATCTTGTCACAGGAACAAGCAAAGTAGCTAATACAGCAGGAAACTGAAATCTTTCCATGAGAAAAAGAGCTCTAGGATAGACTTCTAGATCCTGAAACTTTGAATTGCTTAGTCAGGAGGCCAACTTACTTATGGAGGCTGATGAGGAGGATAAGTTCAAGGCTAGATTGCAATATACCAAGACCAATTCAAAATGAAAAGTAAAATGGGGTCCAGTGAGATGGCTTAGCAGGTCCAGGTGCCTGCTGAGCGGAATTCAATCCCCAGGACCCACCTGGTGGAAAGTGAGCTGACTCCTGCAAGTTATCTCACTTCCACACACACACCATGGTATATGTGTACCCATGCTCACAGGCAGGCACAGGCACCTGTGCATGCACATGCCCGTGTGCGCGTGTGTGCGCGCGCACACACACACACACACACACACAACTGAACGTAACAATAAAAAAGAAAATGATGGGAATGCAGGTAGGTAGCAGAGTGCTCGCTCTACATGTACACGATCCTACATTCAATCTTTCAATAGTCATTCTCAATGAATTAAAGTTGTTTTATTTACTATCACATTTGTATACATGACATGTAACATGTCACTTGAAAGGAGGCCACACTGCACATGTGGAAGCCAGAGCACAACTTTTGGGCTTCTCTTTCCACTGCTGGTTTTAAGATCAAACTGGGGTCATGAGGCTTGCTTGGCAAGTGATTTTACTAACTCTGAGCCATTTTTAGGCAAAGAAAACCCAACAAATAAGAAGTGGAGGCTCTTTTTCCAGAATATCCTTTTTAAGAGTCTTTATAAAAATAAATATATGACTAGATCAAACAGAAAAAGAAAGAAAATAGAGCTAGGGCTGCAGGTCAGTCTGTAGAGTGTGTAGCCTAGTGTGCACTGGCCTTGGGTTTGATACTAGCACCACACAAACTAGCATGCTGAAAGCAATCCTAGCACTTGGAAATGGAGGCAGACGGAGTAGAGTAAGTTCAAAGTTACTCTCAGCTACACAGCTAATTTGAGACCAGCTTGGGCTACATTAGACCCCAACTCAGGACAAAATAAATTAATAAATGAATGAACAAATAAATCAGAGAAAACTAACAATGTCAAACTACTAAAAACTCCCCAAAGAAAAACTTGGAGAGTCTTGTTTTCTTCAGGAATTTGGCCCCAGTATGACAGTCCTAGACCAATACACATACAATCAGACATGAATTTCTGGTATATGGGAAGAAAGAGCTAATAAAAAGTCTGTATTTTTGTATGAAATTCTCAAAGAATAAACTTTTAAAATGTAAAACTAACACAGGGCATGGTGATGCATGCCTTTACTTCCAGCACTCTGGAGGCAGAGACAGGTAGATTTCTGGTTGAGGTCAGCCTGATCTACATGAGCTTCAGGAAAGCCAGGGCTATACAGAGAAGCTCTGTGTGTGTATATGCACACATACACCACCCAAAAAAGGGAAAACTACAATTAATATTCTATCAACAACAAAAACTATGATAGCAACAAAATAACAAGATCTTATTAAAAAAAAAAAAAAAAAAAAAAAGAGGAGGCTTAAAAATAAAGTATGTGCTGACAGAGAGGACAAGGTCAAGAGTACTTCCCAGAAGACAGAGTAAAATGACAAAGAGAGAGACAGAAAAGAGAAAAAGAATTGATTAAAGGCCCAATTACTGTGGCACACCTGCTAATCCCAGCAGTTGGGGAGGCAGAAGCGGGCAGATCTCTGTGAGCTCAAGGCCAGCCAGGTCTACAAAGCGAGCCCAGGACAGCCAAGGCTACACAGAAAAACCCTATCTCAAAGAAGAAAGGAAGAAAGGGAGGGAGGGAAGGGAGGGAAAAAGAGAGAGAGAGAGAGAGAGAGAAGGAAGGAAGGAGAGAAAGAAAAAGAGAGAAAGAGAAAAAGACAAGAAAGAAAGAAAGAAAGAAAGAAAGAAAGAAAGAAAGAAAGAAAGAAAGAAAGAAAGAAAGAAAGAAAGCGAGCGAGCACGAATTCCAGGAAGAACAAGAGAAGTACTCAACAAATTTCAAGTTTTCTTAGGAATACGGGCAAGGAAATTCACAATGAAAGAAGGGTCTAAAACAAGAAAGTGGTAGCGGGGAAAGAGGAAGGGAAAGCTATGCATCAAGCCTCCAAATCTAGAACCCAAGGACGGAAAGGACAGCAGACGAACAGCGGGCTCTTCTCCACAGCAGCACCAGGAGCTCCAAGTAGCACATGTGCTCGGAGGAGTAGTAAGATGTTCTGAGCAGGGCTGGAGAGATGGCACAGAGGTGAAGAGCACTGACTGCTCTTCCAGGAAACCTGGGGTTCAAATCCCACCACCTCATGGTAGCTCACAATTGTAACTCCAGTTCTACGGGGTACTGTAACATCGTGGTCCAACGCTTTATATTTGCTTACTATGTTGCTCCCCAAAGTCTGCTTGCTGTCTTTTACAGCAGGCATAGATGGAGGAAAGCAGCCCAGATAAGAACATTAGCAAGTATTTTGAGATTATGGATGGGAAATAGCCCAGATAGACATTATTATTAGGAATGGGGGCTTGGGAGGTAAAGGTAGCTTAGCTGGTAATATCTGCCTTGCCAAGATAAAATAAGGCTATTTTAAAACCTATCAGGTGTTTGTGTCTTTCACTGATTATAACAGGTTAGATAGTGCTGCTATAATAATTATAGGGCTAATAGCAAACATTATTAGACCACGCTTTTAAATTAACCACAACAGGATATGACACCCTCTCACAGACATACATGCAGTCAAAACACCAATGTACATTAAAAAAAAAAAAAAAAAAAACACAAAAACACTCTTAAAAAAATGTTCAGGGCAACAAAAACATCCTATTGGTCACAAATGTATTTTGAACAGTGAATTAAGATTTAAATACACTATACATAAAACATCTTCACACCTACCAGCTTCCCTTTTCTTAGATTTCACCTTAGGTTCAACATCCACAAGTAGTGTATCCAGAGGTAAGCTGTCTGGTAGAATAAAATACCGAATGTTATTGCCTCGAATACTCAAGGTTTCCAACTGTACAGGCTCTCTGTTCTTCAGGGTCATTTTCACGGCTTTAAGATGCGTATTCATGCTGACATCTACACCTGAAGGGGGGGAAAGCAGAACAGTTACCAGCATGATTAAGGCTCTCAGTCTCCACAGTTGAAGTCATAATGTAAGGAGTACCTTTTGCTATGCTGCAGGGCAAGTTGCTGTGGTGATCTACGAATTTTCCCTCATAAAGACTGTTCCTAGCCACACTACTTAGAGAGCTAGGTGCACTTCCAGAATTGACACACCTGCGGTGTGGCTAAGTGACATTTGTAATCTCAGCACTCAGGAGGAATGGCACAGGAATGCCAGAGCTCAAGGAACGCCTGCACTGCAAAGAAGAGCCATTCTGCTAGACAAAGAAAATAGATGCAGCCAGCTGTACAGGAACGCCAGTGTTGGGTTCACCTCATGCTACTACTTTCAAAACTGAGTTCTTCCCCAGATTAGAGTTTGTACAATTCTACTGTCCCCATAACTTCCTTACCCAACATTCTATCAAGCCATGGCTCATTTTAAAGACCTATGATATTGTTTCCTATGACTAGGAACTCCTCCCCCATTTTCCTGAGACAAAGTCTCTCTATGCACCCCTGGCTAACCTCAGACTTGTGATTCTCCAACCCAAGTTTCCCAAGTGCTTGGTCTATAAAAACTCAACACCACATCCATTTTAACATGTCTGTCTGCCTATATATCTATTCAAGCATTCATTTATTTATTCGGCTTTTCGAAAAAGGGTTTCTCTGTAGTGCTGGCTGTCCTGGACTCACTTTGTAGACTAGGCTGGCCTTGAACCCACAGAGACCCGCCCTCCCAAGTGTTGGTATTAAAGGTGTTTGCCACCACACCCGGCTTTTCTATTTATTTATTTTAAAAAATTAGTTTTAAGGGGCCAGAGAGATGGCTCAATGGTTAAGTGTGCAGGGCTCTTACAGAGAAACAAATCTGGGTCCCAGCACCTGCATCCGGAGGCTCATAACTAACTGCCTGGAACTCTAGCTTCAGAGAGACCTAGTGCCTCGGTATCCAAAGGCCCCTGCACTCACATACATACGTAATTAAAAATTCTGTGTGTATTAGTATGCATGCATACATGATTGTGAGTGTCTTCAACTGTTTTACACTTAAAATATTTGCATGCATATGGGTATGCAAGCGCCTATGTGCTATGGCATATGTCTGGAGATCAGGATAATCCACAAGACTCAGTCCTCCCCTTCTTCTATGTGGAGGAGGCACGAACTCAATTATCAACACACTATATGTAACAAACAAACAAAAATCTATCTATCTATCTGTCTATCTATCTATCTATCTATCTATCTATCTATCTATCTATCTATCTTGGCAGCAGATAGCACAGGGCTGAGTCTCCACTGTGTTTTTGGAGGCAGGGTCTCTCACAGAACTGGGATTACAGAAACACAAAGTATCCATCTTTTGGGGAGCTGAGGATCTGAACTTAGGTTCTCAAGCTTGTACAGCAGCAGTTTACCAACCAGGTCATTTCTCTGGCTCTTAGTATGCCTTTTCATTGTAAACATTCTATCTATCTATCTATCTATCTATCTATCTATCTATCTATCTATCT